ACCCCCCCCCCCCCCCCCCAGCTGCCCATACCCACCCACCCTGAACAACAAAAGAATCTCACAAAGCAACACGTGACAACTTATTCAGTCATCAAAAGACATGTTTAATTTGCACAGAAAACGGAAGTGCAACAGGGTAGCTAACAAAGGCCATTTGTCCTAGACTTACATTTCCAAGAGATGTTCACCATTGTTGTCAGCATTGTTCAGCACTGTAGTACAGAAGTTGTTGAAAATTCAGCTCTGTAAAGCTGTTCAATTTTACAGTGCAATAATGCTTAGAAAAGCAAAGCATCTTCTATGCCTAACAAATACAATTTTCTATAACAGAGCTATGTAAGTTTGTGTGTTTGTTAAAGAACATAGTTGCAAGTAAGGTTTGTCTTCCTTTTTGAGAAATTCTTCTAAAACCTATATGTACCTCTGAAAGTCAGGTCTTTGAAGGAGAACCATCCTTCCAGTTCCAGAGTTAGTATCTTAATTCACCAGGTGCTACGTGCTATATCATAAAGATGCATAGGCCAGGCATATATACACAAAGCACCTATCAGAGTTAGTAGTGTTGGATCTTTAATTCTAGATGCCTTGAGTTGTTTGGGTTTGTTGGTTTTTTTTGTACACTTGCTTTGCAGGCAATGAGATACATCTTTTTCTTAAATGCTGCTTTTATAGATTTCTTCCTCCAATCTCTCCTTCAATTTCCTACACTTTCAGGATAATTGGGAAGTGGGGCAGTGATGAAGGCAGTGTACAACAAATCAGACCTGTGGAAAAAGTGCTGGTCTTATGTAGATAACATATATGAAGAGACAGGTTGTTAAGGAAATCCTGATTACGTTTTTTTAATTTTAATTTTTAAAACATCAAGTCATTCTCAGAGCGGAAGCACTCTTAAAGTTACATAATAAAACATGATAAAGTTACATCTCACAGGTTGCATATTTTTTCTAACAGTGCTTCAGAGTAGCAGTTTTTAAGAACTTTTCACATTTGATCAAGTCATATACAGTCAGAGTTCACATTATAAAAATATTTAGTTTTGAAATGCTCTTTTCTCATCAGCATAGTCAAGATCTTGACTAGCCTAGGAACTGGATGTTCCTTTTCTGTTTTATTTCTTTTTTGCTCCTTTCATTCTGTAATGTGTGTTTTTTCTCAGCAGCTTCACCAGTAATAACATCTAAGTGATACAAAGCTATTTAGTTCAAATGAAAACTGTACTTCCATTTTAAAGTAATAATTGTGTGTGTTTTGCAGTATAAGTCTTCCAGAAAGAGTTCAAGTGGAAATGAAAATGATGAGGTGAGAGAGTAATGTGTAAAATATTTAAGAAAATGTTTTGTTCATTTGCCGTTTATGAACATCTACAAGCCACAGTCACAGGGCAGGAGAAGGTTGGCTAGAGTCTGCACAAACAAACTTTGCATCCCAAAGCCATAGCAGAAATAAGCATTATACTCCCTTATTTGAAATGAGTCATTAGGAATGTGTACTGAGGAAAAGTAGGATGTTTATTTGCTTTGGTAATAAGAAGGTAATTCACCTATCAAGTGGAGGTGATGCAAAAGTAATGTTCTACAGAAACAGTGAATGGTGTTTCCTAGACTTAGGTCTTTTTAAATTCAACTGCTTCCAGTTTGTCACATGTTTGACCAATGTTGCATGTCACACGTATTATGTATTTCATAATTTCATGTTTCTTGTTAAATCATAATTTTCATTTTTATAATTTCATCTCTTTGATTTCTTTTAGCAAGACAGTGATAACACTAATGTGTCCCCACAGTCTCCTGTGTCGTCTGAGGTACAAGTTTGTGGTTTTGTTTTTCATTCAGCAAACATTTCTTTTGTGCTCATTACTTGTCAGAAGGTTTACCATACAGATAAAAAGCTGTTAGTTGCCTTTGAAACTGCAGTTAGAAATATTTAATCATAACTAGAGAGATACTACAATGTGTGTTGCCTTTACAACTATCTGATCTCTCCCAGATTTCTTGTCTGACTGGTGTGTAGAAGCGTGCATTGCTTTGTCTCCATTATCTTTCCTAATGAAAATAGCTACCAAAACAAAAATAAAATTTCCCATATGTCCCGCTTAGAAGGCAGAATTGTGTTCCCCCTCCCTTATCCCTTAGTTTTCCAGGTAGAGAGGTAAGTAAAGGAAGGCAGGGGTAATGAAGGCTCTGCACCGATTTAAAAGTTAACAAAATGAAATATATTATTTAACAGGGAACAGAAAGGAAGAAGGGTAGGGGTTTAAGAGGGTAAGGGGATTATAGGAACAACAAAGCAGGGAAGATTAAAATTCCAAATATAAAAATCCAAATGTTGTGCTGAGGCTCTCCAGTGCTGGATCTCGCTGGATTGAGGTGGATTGAAGCTGGATGCACAATCCCTGGACGTGGATGGAGCCAGGGAAAAGTTTGTAGATCAGGCCCAGGTCTCCAAGATGGGCATGGCCACGTGCAGCACAGGGAGCAGCAAACAGCAGCAGAGCAGGGTGTCCTGGCCAGGACCCCACAGAGGAGAAGAGGAAGAGGGAAGAGAGAGAGGCGTGTCTTCTCGCCCCTTTATAGACCGAAGGCAGGAAGAGGGGAGTGGGAATAGAACAGGTGTACACCCCTTTCATTCAGGCTTGCTCCTGGTCTTGGATTTCAGATCTCCATCCCCCAGGAGCAACAGGTTTCAAACCATTACACCATATTTTGTAGTTATCCCCTGTGCACTAGCCATTCAGTAGATTAGAAGTAAACTTGTGGTTTAATATTTCATAGATCACAGGGAACTCAAAGGTACTGATGCTGCTTAGGGAGTTTCATCCTTTACAGCGCTGGCTGTTTCTGTTGTGGAGCAGCCTTGCAGCTGCATTAAGTGGTTACTTTCCTTTTTAAGGAATGTCCATGTAGTCTCAGTGGGATTACACTATACTACTAAGCTCTGAACATATCCATCTCATGTCAATAAGGAACCTGAAGGAGCAGAATAACAACTTCTCTCAAATTCAGTGAAATGAGTTGAAATAAGGATATCTCATGTACATACCAAATTACTGAGTGCGTATCTCTTTTTAGATGGTGAAATGAGGAAAAACCTGATCTTCATAATTGAAAGCAAACATTTCTTAAGAAATACTTTGATGTGAAGAGTTGGGAGGATATTTGCATTTGCTTACAGCTGGCTTAGAACTCTTACAGAATGATTTGCAGTAATTTGAAGTGGTTTAGAGTAGATTTTAGTTAATCTGCTGCTGCTTTTCTTCAGTGAGATAATTTTATCTGCACATAATAAGGCTACTTTCATTCCATTTATTTTGTACTCTCCCCTTCAAGAGAATGCATTACAGTTAAACAGGAGGACTCACTTTTCTTATGCAAGAATAAACACTGTCTTGCTAGGAACAGAAATTGTTTTGATGAATGGAAGAACATTGACTTTATCTCTTTTAACAGGATTATGAAAGGACAGATAGTAACACTCATGGTCCATTTGGTCTCAAAACAAGGTCAGGTAAGCTCCTGTTCTCTACCATAGCATGATAGAACAGATGCTTATTTCCGGGGCTGGAATACATGGTAACAATAGCAGATGCATGAATTGGAATGAATATGAAGAGATGTCCCAGTTCAACAATCTACTCAGTTCACAAGCATAGTACTAGGAAAGACACAAACAGCTGCTTTGGCAAACAAATAATTGAAAGTTCCTGAAGTTGCACGGTGCTTTCTTTTTTTAATGAATTTTAGTTTGTTTTTTTTTTTTTACCCACTACCTTATTTTGTTCATCTTTAGTCATTGTCGGAGAGCAAGGGAACAGCGTGCGATTGTTCTTCAGACCTGGTGTCAGAAGCAGGAGGGTTTCAGGAGAAGCAGATCTGTGTTTTGTCTTGTGAAAGGATGCTTTGAGCAGAGCTTTGCTAGGAGTTTCATGGCATAATGCTTTGTCCTTCCCTGACTCTTTCAAGACTGTGCCATACTCTCATAAGACAGTTGTATTGTCTAAAGCAGGCTTTCAGTCCTCTGAAATGTAGGTAGAAATAAGAAGGGTTTTTTTTCAGTTACAGTATTTTTGCAAGTGTCTGTGTATATTAGATTTCACCAGTGCAAAACATGGTTTGGAAAGTATTTTTGCAGGTGTCTGTGTATATTAGATTCCAGCAGTGTAAAACATGGTTTGGAAAGGCCACTTTGCAATCCTTTTCCTTAGTTTTTAAGGAAACAGTCTTCATGCATATTCATTAAGAAAGAATGATCTCAACTCTTCAGTTTAATTTCATTTGCTGTTTATTGTAGCAAAGCTTGACCTCCTTAATACCAGCCTGTGAGCCCTCAGTAGTAGGGTGTGTCTGGCATGAGGTCGGCTTCTTCAGAGGCGTTAATTCACTTGCGATGTGTAAGCAGCTGCATGAAACTTCTGTGCCAGGGATAGCTGAGTTAGCTGCATGCACCAGGACACGCCAGCGGAAGTTTAGATTGGATATTAGGAAAAAATTTGCCACAGAAAGGGCTGTAAAGCACTGAAACAGGCTGCCTAGGGAAGTGGTGGAGTCGTCATCCCTGGAGGTCTTTAGAAGTTGTGAAGGAGTGTTACTGAGGGACATGATTTAGTGGGAACTTGACTGATTCTGTGATTCTATAATGTATAAAATCATAGCAGTGATTTCAAGACTATCTATAATAATTCTGATATTTTGATTATTAGGTATGTTGCTAAAATCTGAATTATTAAAAACAATATAGAATGTTCTGTAGGTGTAAGTTGTGGGGTTTTTTTTGTTTTTATTTTCTCAGAAGCATGGGGTAAAATACTGAAGGATACAGTGGTATTTATAAAAAATAGTTTTTATTTGACAGTGTTGTATGAAGTAATAGAATTGTCATTTGAAGGCTTTCTCACCAGGAAGAATACTAAAGTGGACATATTTATTTAAGAGGCCTCCTTTTTAATGAACTCTGAGACATTTTATATTTTTCAAGTAGTTCTTTAATAAGCAATCACTCTGTCTCTGCATATGCACACCTAACACATGCACATGTGTGTGGAAAAAAAAGTAATTTTAATTTATAGAAGGGAGTTCTGTCCCTTTTTTAAGTCTCCATAGAGACTTTATACTTGATTAAAAGTAAAACAAAGTTAACATATTTCAAAGCTAGATAGCAAGATATGCTTGGAAACATGCAAATGGAGTGGTATGTGTCAAATGGATACTTGAATATTGAAGCCATTTCTGTGTGTTCTAGTTATCCATTTGCACTTTAGATGATCTGTGTATTTTATTTGAAAGTTGTTTCGCGGGCAGCAGTATTTACATCAGGATACTTAAATGTATTTGTTCCAAAACATTCTGCACTGCTTTTCGCATTTTTGTCCTTGGTGGGAGATTTTTAGTCGTTGCATTTTTTAAAATCTGAATTCTGAAAACTGACTTCTCTAATGTTGCATAGCCTTCAGCCGTGCATCACGCCAGGACTATGGTGCAGTGGATCCTGGATTTACAATGAGGAGGAAAATGGAGCATTTAAGGGAAGAAAGGGAACAAATAAGACAGCTTCGCAATGTATGTATCATTATTTACTATATGGAACATTTAATTTAAACCTTTATTATAAGGGCATGCAAATCACTACAGTTGTACAAGGGCATCTCTGTAGTGATATTTCTTCCTAAGGAATTTAATGGAAAAGGCTACACTGGTACTGTTTTTTTTGTCCAACTAAAATACCAACCAGGAACTAAATGTTTTTTTTTCGATGAAACATGAAGTGAAAAAGTTAATATTTTTCTTTTTAGGCTGCTGTGGATTTAGGATTTCCTAGGAAGACAAGTCTACTTGTGTTTGCTGCTATTTGAGCTGAGATTAGAAAAAAGATGGTCTCAGTCTAGTGTAGAAAGTTGCTACAAGTTATATAGTACTGAATAAGATATAAATTACAAAATTCCAGTAAGTTGTTTTCTGTTTAGTCCTGTTCTCAAAATAGTTGAGTTACAGTTAACTGTAAATCATAGGAGCTCTGCTTTTCAGGGCAGTAATAATTTGCTGGGTGCTTTCCTTGAAGGTTGTTCCTCTCTTGTCCAGTTCACTTCCTGAGCAGTGAAGTCTTGTTGCTGGGGTTGGAAAAAATACTCCCTGCTTCCCTCCGCCATTTGGCAATGGATGTGTGGGCACTTTTTGGCCACCCTTTCCTCAGCTATTTAACTGTCATCTGCACAAGACGAAATAGCCAAGCCCAAAGTGGTTGTGCTCCCCTTTTTTTTTTTTTTTCCCTACTAGTAAAATTGTCTAATATTTCAACTGATATATTGTGCACACTAATGAGGTATTCAGCATAACTTTTCTGTCCTTAAATTCTGTGCTTTTTTTATGAGTAGTGAGTTCACTATATGGCTTTTAGACCTATGTATCATGGTAGTTGTTGACTGAGTGTTTTAGTGTATGTAATTTTTGTCATAAAAAGGGAATGTAAGCTAATGATAAAGAAAATTATGTTTGTACTCAGTAAAATGTGATTTACCTCATTTTATTATTAAAACGTCCCTTTTAAACTGAATGCTTTAAAATTAGCTAATGTTGAAAGTAACTTAGTTATGGACTTTTTAACAGAATCTTGAATCAAGGTTAAAAGTAATTTTGCCAGACGACATTGGAGCAGCACTGATGGATGGAGTGGTTCTTTGCCATTTAGCCAATCACATAAGGCCACGTTCTGTTGCCAGCATTCATGTACCATCGCCAGCAGTGGTAAGTCGTTTATTTCACTTCTGTTGTGTCTCGTGAAAAAAAAACTTTTGAATAAAATTGTAAGAAACATGGCCAGCAGGTTGAGGCTCAATACCAAAGCATCATGAATCATGTTTATCACATTATTAATTGACTGCATTCTTCAGTTCTTGTGCAGAAAGCATTAAACTGGGCTCAGAGGTTTAGTTTAAGAGCTATTCTCATAGATAGAGCCTTCAGAGGATTTGGTTTGTGTTTTAGCAAGTGTAACTGAATTTGCATGAGAAATACACAATCCTTCATGAATGTATGAACATCTAACATCCTGTTTTTACAGCCTAAACTCAGTATGGCAAAGTGCCGAAGAAATGTTGAAAACTTTCTTGATGCTTGTAAAAAACTGGGTGTTCCACAGGTATGCTAATGGCTTTATTGACATAATGTTAGTAACTACAGAAAGTGTCAGCTAACACCGAAGCTGTTTTTTTTTAGGGGATTTAATAGAGGGCACAGTAGGGATTATAACACTGACCAGGGAACTTGAAGATGTGTCATTTCAGAAGTCCCATTTCTGGCCTGTGGCAGGAAAGCTACTTTATGGGTTTCTACTCCGTTCCTCACTGTAAAAATAATACTGACCTCCTTGTAAAACAAAGTATTGTCTAAACAAAAGAACTGATCCAAGAGGATGATGTTGTAATATTTTAAAGCCTTGAATTTAGCAATTGACTTTGGTATGAATTTCATTGTCCGTCTAGGAAAAATTGTAAAATTACAGAAATCTATAGCCTAACTGATTTAGTATCTTTTCTAGCACGGCCATAGTTACAGCCTGTTATTCAGGCTTCTGTTGCCCAAGCTAATCCTCTTACCTGTGTGGGGAGGGTGGAGGAGTGTGGAGGAATTGTAATGATCAAACCATTTCCTGCATATTATGAGACCTAAAAAAAACTCCCTTGAACAAGAAAATTAATTTATGGATTTAGAAGCTTGCATTGCTGCTCTTGCCACAACTTCTATCTAGCATGGAGCCACAGGCCTTTCAGAAGTTAGAGATGCTTAGATTTACCTACTGAATTGCATGTAACAACAGCTAGCAGTTGGGAAAAATTGTCCAGCTTGAGCTGATTTTTGAAACTGTAAGATTACTTTCTTGGTGAATGTCTCATTACTGAGGACTCAGTCTGTCAGTGCTTCCCAGTATTCCCGAGGGAAAAAATGGTAATAAGCCTACACAAAAAAAAAAAAGGAAGGGAGAAGTAGGTCACTGAGCCAACAGCACCCATCAGCCTCTTTCTTGCTCTGCTTATGGGAAGTCTTTGGCTTCATGACATTAGCAATCTTTTATGTATCTTCTGATGTTGTCATAGTTTAATACTTTAAACAGATCTTAGATATAATTAGTTTCTGACTATTCTGTTACTGTAGAGAATCACATGTGAAATTTAAGGCCAAGGATGTTTTCTGTGTAGATCTTAGCAGTGATCTATGTGTGACTTTAGAGATAATATGCTTTTTACCTGCCTTGGGAAAAAAAAATGAAGCTTTATACACATACTGCTTTATTTTTCAGGAGAGACTTTGCTTGCCTCATCACATTCTGGAGGAAAGGGGTCTGGTGAAGGTTGGCCTCACAGTTCAAGCTCTGCTTGAATTGCCTACGTTGAAAGTATCTCAGCTTTCCTCCATGTGACATGACTTCTTGGAAGCTAGACAACTTCCCATTTGATGTGTTGATTTGGATTGCTCTGAGGCAGTTCAGCTTCTTACACGGGAACATCCAAGCCATCAAAAACTACTATCTGTCCAGATGCTGTAGAGAGCCTTACTTTGGAGTTGTACGTGAAAAACTTGGAGTCAACTGACAGTTAAAAGAACATAATTTTTTTTTTTTTTCCTTTTATAATTGGGTGCACAAAGAGATTGTGGTAGCATCAGGTTCTCTTTCCAGTTAGTTTAAGCTAAAAGCTGCCATTTAACATCTCACAGTGTTACAGTTAAATGCTGGATTTGTTTTCCTTACACTGAAAATGTTTGAATTATTTTAGAAGTACAAAGCACACACCTCTCTCACTTTAATCTTTCAAGTCAATAATTTGATATAAAAGTAAGACAAAAATGTAATGACGGTGAAAATGCAAACAGCTGATTACTTACAATCCCCTTTCACTCTTTTAGAAAGATAATTTGTGTTCAGTCTTTTTTGCACTCCTGATTGTAACTTACATGCTTCTAACATTGCCAGTATTTAGTCTGAACGTATGGTGACTATACAAAACAGAATACTATGGGAAAAGGACACATTTTATTGTTTTTTTTCCAGTCTTCTAGGTTGGTGCCAAATATTTTTTTCAGTTGTACTGTAGATTGTTTACATGTGAAGTGCCTGTGTAATTGATAATTCTTAATAGTCTTAAGCATTTTTGAAATTTCTTTAAAATAGATAAAATGGAAATTTTAAAATATTTTAATAGTTTTTTGTAAAATTGATATGTGAAGATTTAAGTAATACTTCACATTTTGATGGGTGTTTTTGTTGCACACTTTAGTTTTTTGTTGTCTAATAATTAGAAAATACTGTAAATACTTTTTATTTATGATATTTAATTTGATAATACCTAAACACTTTTGGTTTAATGTAATATTGGACAAAAAGTTGTGTACTTTTCTTTGTTTGGGAGAAACAAATATACACAGTGAGTAAGACATGAGGACTAGTGATGCATTGAGAGTAATTTAGGACATTTTGATAAAACTGCCAAAACTCAGGTTTACGCTGTGACTTTCAGGATTTTGTGTAATATTGCTCCTGATCTCACATTACATTTTTACAACAGATATATCCCAAATATAGTTAGGAGATAGCAGTGTTTGTCTTTTTAGTGGTTATGGGATTTATTGTGTAATTTACACAAGTGTGTCATAGCACACAGATCGGTTTGTACAAATGTCACTGTGCTGAGACATTAGAATTTTCTGGATAAATGTGAAAAAGAAAAATTTCAATTGTGGTGTTTTTTTAAAACATCTGAGTTCATGTATGTCTTTGCTTCTGCACAAATTCTCGGTGTTTTGAGAACATTTGAAACCATACATGATTGAGTTCTTTTCCAAACAAGTGGCAAATAATTTCATTATTTTGGTGATAAATCTGTTAACGTCAGCTTGTTCGTTATGAATAGGTAGCTCAGTTAAAAAAAAAAAAAAAAAGTTCTGACTCTCAGAGATTTTTAAAGTTAACATAAATTCAATTGAGGAATACTTCTGCCAAGCGTGTAACAAGATTTGATTCTCTTCTTTCCAATTGATGAAGACCCCGTGTAGTATATAATTTATAAAAAATGGAGTGGTATCATTTATTCCTTAATTTTTTCACTATAGTCCTTAAAATCAATCGCTGGGAAGAGAAAACCTTTTTTGATGACAAGACTTTTTTTTAAATTAGACATTATTTTAAAATCCATTGAAACAAACTGATTCATGTGTAATAGCTAAAACTCATGATTGTTTCTTTAATGTTTTCTTAAAATATAGCTTATGGAGAAGCTGGTGTGAAATTTATTTTGCAAAGTCTTAGATAGAAATCTTAGGTTACATAAATCCAGTTTAAGGAAACTGTATTGCTTTGACCTTTGAGATACAGTATTTCAAAACTAATTAGTTTTTAAATTGTTCATATAATACTCATTTTAACTATTTCAGTCTTTGTATTTCATTGAGGACAATATCTGAAAAGTCATGCTAAGACTAAAATGAAAAAGTGGTCTTGTCATTAAGCCAAATGCACATTGTCTGCTACTTTTGAAGAACACCATAATTCAAAAAGAGTAAATCATTGCCTTTCAATTCCTTGCTATGGTATAGACAACAACAGTTCTAGTTCAGTACCTTAACCATAGAATTGCTTACTGTAAATTGTCACTTTCAGTCATCTGGCTTTAACTGATCTCCACTACTATTTCCTTGCCGTATTTGAATGTGTTTTCTAATCTTAAAGTAACTTTTTTCCATACTAGAACTAAACTTGTAAAGTTATATCACAGCGTAAACATTAAGAATTCCCGTGATGTAGCATACCAGATGCTTACCAGTTTGGTTTTTTTAAGCTTAGCTTATTTCTAAGTAACTTGAAAACTGGGTATGAGATTAGTGTGCTCATTTTAAACTGTATCTGATGTTGAAAACTACTAAAATAACATATTTTAGTACTCTGGAGTTCTTCCCTACAAACTTGCTAGAAACAGTCTTGCTTTGCCATTCACTGGAAATTATGAGGGCCTTCTTCATGCTTATGGGGAAGGATAGTCATGATTCTTCCAGGGCTTCCTTTTTGGCATTGCAAAGATTAAGGCCTTCAAGTATCCTTAGGAGCAATCTGAGAAAAGGTCCACTGTGCTTGAATGAATCTTTTCTCATCTTTCTGTAGCTGCTTTCACAAATAATAATCTAAAGTTTTGCTAAAATTGCTGTTTCCATCGTAATTTTTTTTTTAGGAGCAAAAATGATGCTAAAGAAGTTTTGAATTGCAAGTTTTAATTTTAAAGCAGCCTGCAGAAATTATTGCTGTCTTCTCTGTACAAGAATTTGCCTATATGCCCTGTCTCCTTTTTGGTTTGATTCTCAGCGTTGTCTTATTTTTTCACAGATCTAGTGACTTCACATTGTTCATTACTGCATGCCACTGCTTCTTCTTTAGTTGTGAGTTGGTTTGTTTTTTGCCTGTGGTGTGGTTGTTGGTTTTGGATGGGTGTGTGTTTTTTGGGTTTTTTTTTTTGTGATTTTTTTTTAAAGAAATTGCTCCAGTGCTCTTGTTGAACTGTAACACCAGAATTCCTGCTCCCAACATTTAGTATACTTGATGCAGTGTCATTACATAATAGTTGGTATAGCTGATAGGATGCTTAAAACCAGAGGCCTGCCTAATTCCTATTGTAGTTGCTCAGTTTTTACTTTGGATATGAAGAAAAGTGAACATTAAAAGCTTTAGGAAGCTGCATTAAGTTTTCCTAATAAATTTAAGAGTTGACTAGGGTGCTTTTGTATTGAGTGCTGTACAAAGTTACTGCAATAATGTTGTATGAACTGTAAATTACAGAGTGAATCAATGTACTGGCAAGGCTTCTGAACTTGTATACTTTTTCTGTTTATGTCATCGGGTACAGTATATCACACAGGAATGATCTTTCATTTAAGCAATAATGTCCCAGATACTGTGAGATCTTAAAGTGATGGCATTAAAATAATTGTCATAAAGTGTAGTGACTTACCACACAGTAGCTCTGAAATCCTTCTATCCATTATGATACTGCTAACCCAGTATGCTAGCTGGGGCACTGCTAGGTTTGCAGAAAACTATCTATACTGTATCTGGAGGCCTTCCAAAATATAACCAAGAACTAAAATTATCATGAAATACAGAGGAAGCAATAAATAATTAGGACATGAATCCTAAGAATTTCTGAGTAAAATCATAACTTCACTGAAGCTGACGCAAGTTTTGCTGTTGACGTCAGTCAAGAATTCCACCTTTTTGATTTATGGAACACTTGAGCTGGAGACCACAGCAAACATGGCTTAAACTCGTTTGGCAGTAGCAAAGCTGAGTAGTGTCAAAGTCTTTACTAAAATTAGTTTTTAAGTAAGTAAGTCGAAGGTAAGTCGAAGCTGTAAAATATTGCACTGATTTGTTTGTCTAATACAAATTTTCTGATATCCCATTTATTAAGACAGTAGGAAAAAACACTTTAAAGCACAGCTGTCATACTATGAGAAGGTATGTCACCTAAACAAAGTTGCAGGTGAGGACTACTGTCTTATTTATTATCTTAGTTACTTAGTGCACTAAAACCTTTTTATTTCAAATGTAATTTTTGTTGGATTTTGATCTGTAGCCAGATTCCAACAAAAAATGAAAGAACATGTCTTTTCATTAAAACTGAATTTCCACGTGTTCTCAGTATTGAAGAGAATGATAAAGGCCTAGCACTTCCTCCTGATGATGATAATGATGAAAGGTAGCAAAGAAAAAAAGGCAGCAAATAAACAAAACACCATGCCAGCACACACAAAACTAGTGAAAAACTAGTTTACAGGTGACTCTTTGGAAGTAAAAAAAGTCATTACAACCAGGAATGGGAAAAACAAAATATAGTTGTTCAAGGAGAGGCTGCTTTAAGTTGATTTCAAGTTGAATCAGTTTACAATGAAAAACCTTTGGATTTAGTTGAGAAAGTTGGTGTGTTGTAGCTGCTTCATACTGAGGGAGGCAGATCCTCAAGTACATGGAGGTTTCTGTAGAGCTTACAATAACAAGAAATTTGGCATCTTTGCTTTCCCAAAGACTGTATATAGTTTGGGATACCTCTATCCCAGTGCTGTAAAGAGCATTGTTGATTGTGCATTGCCCATTCCCAGCCCTGGGTAGGTACCTAGCTGGTGCCATTTCTTTGTAGTGTCTAGACTGACCTGTGTGGTGCAGCTTCTGAAGGAAATGCCTCCTTCCTGCACACTGCTGCCTTCTCCTGAATAGGCTGCAGAATTCTTTGAAGTAGATGTTTGCAATTTGAATAAAACCAGTAAGGAAAGCGATAATTTTACCTAAGAGTAATAGGTAAGTAGATGTTTACCAGTATATAACCTCCACTGCCAAGGAATGATGTAGTAACACACAGGAGGCTTGCTTTAGCAACTACAGATGGTCAGTGATTGAAAACTGCACCATGATTCTTAATGGTGTGCCACCTATCCCCTCATGTGAGCGAGTCAAAACAGTAATACTGATTCTTGTTCCATACACAACACATTGTGGGATATACATAATTCATTTACAAATTGAGGGAACGGCAAACTTTTTTAATCAGTTTTTTTATGGCACAGATGTTTTTTGTAAAATAAATATGAAAGTAAAAAAATTACTCTCTTCCTGTGAAGAAAATTACTGCTGATCTTGATTGCTAAAGTAGAGAACGTGTGATTAACTGAATTTTAAACTTGCCACTGCACAGGAGCATTTCTGGGTCCTGTCTTTCTTACA